CAGAGCTGTGGGAGCTGTCTGTTCTCAAAGGGAGGAAAGACACTAAGGGATGGTGATTGATTGGGGTGAAGAGGATCGCATTGAATTTTTAATTTTTTCTTTTCTTTTCCTGTCATTTCTTTTTCCGATTCACTCCTCTCTTTATGCCCCTTCCTCTGATCTGAGGAAGTGGAAGACTATTCTTTTTCTTTCTTCTTCTCCTTCTTCTTATCCATCTGCTGTTTCCTAAGCTCTTTGTACTCAGCCCGCTGTTCTTCCCACTCCTGGTCCCAATCGACTTCCTCACCACCAGGAATCAAGCTCACGGCACCACGATCCAACTTCGATAACCCACCACTACCAAGATCCTTGAAGTAAGGGCTGTCCTCATCAACACTGGACCATGAGCAATGGATACCCTTATGCCAGCAGTTCCCGCATTTCCAATCGAGGTCCTCTCTTCCCACACAACCGAAGTATGGCCACATCACCTTAGTTTTGGTCCCATCGGGGAACGTCACGAAAGACCGGCGATAGCTCTGATCGCACTCATCACATGGATTGGCATAACTGAATCCAACATGTTAGTGTCAGGCTAAGTCTGATCAGGGGGGCGGCACTTACAGTAACCCGGTGGCCTGGACAAATAAGCCTTTAGAGCGATGAGCCCGCTTGACGATTTCGAAGAGCCAGCGCCCGAAGAACCACCCATTGGACCGTTCGACGAAAATCCGCCTAACGGAACCGGTCGACAACGCCTTGGAGATGTAATCAGTGACAGTCTTGTCCGCACCAATGTCCTTGAAAAGTAGCTGCCACTCTTTCTTACCCCCCTTCTTCGTCGGATCAGGGAGGAACCACTCAAGGTAGAGGGGAGCAGCCACGTGTTTGGGATCTAGAGGGGAAATCTTGAGGTACCAAAGAGCAGCCTGATGGGGGAGAGAAATGTCGTGATAAGCATTAGCACCTTTGGGCATGGTGGAGTCGTGAACGCAAGTAGGACGCCGAACCCAGACGTGCCTCTTGTAAGCAACGCCTTGATTGTTGGGAGCACGGGTGAGGTCGGTGGGACGATGAGTGAGGGTAGCAAGCAAAGGCTCTTGAGTAGGGTCTATGGCGACCTCGGACCAGTCGTACGCAGCAAGGTCAAGGACTCCCTCGACCTGACTGGGAAGTTTTTTGGCGAAAGAGGTCGTGGATACCTGGGTAGTAAGGTCGTCGACCGCCTGATCGGACGAAGCAGCAGGTTTCCTCAAAGAAGAGGCCATTGGGAGGAAGCGGTTAATAAGTACTGAAAAAGATGAGGAGTGAGCGGGAATGAGGAGAACTGGCATGGGTATTTATAACCAGAGGATAGGACGGTGCGACTGGTCCTACAGACCTCTACAGGAGGGAGACTCATCAGAGCGCTCTTTCCTCCTCAAACGGCTTACGCAACTATCTGATGATCTTGCCTTACAAGCCAGGCAGACAACAGAGAACAAAGACTCACCGAAGACCTTCTTCCCTCTTTAACTCTCCATTCCAAAAAAATTCCTCACTTCCCTCTCGACAACCCTCTGATCACAGATCACGCCACACACTACTCCCTCTCAATTCTCACAGAACGATGTCATCAACGCTTTTTACAAAGTCCATTCACGACATGTCATGGGAAGAATTCACCGCCACCAAGAAATTCGGCCCTCCCAATGATCTCGTTAAAGAGATTATTCGGAAAGCGCGCCTTCAAGGTATCGACAGGGTCTATGGCTCTGGTCCCCCGCGCGGCATCTTCCTTCCCCAAGGCGATGACACTCTCTGGCCTGTTCGTTTTGGCCTTAACCTGGTTGCCGACCCAGGAGATCATGTTGTGGGAAGGCGGCCCGACTGGATCAACACCACTTTCGTGGAGCAGTTTTCGATTGACACTATCAAATATTTTTTTCCTGGCTTGAGAATAACGACCCCCCCTGATCGGACTCACATCTACGGTATCCATGTAGCTTCCCTCACTTGCGCTATGTATGACCTTCAAGGTCAACTAGAGGCCAAGCAGTGGCTCACTAGCTCGGTCCTTACCTGCGCTCTTCGGTACTCTCTTCAGGGAATCCTCGAGCGTTGTATATGGATCCCTGGAGAGCCTCTGAACCCTGTTATGATGAAGTCGTCGATGCGCTTTTTCCTGCCTAACGACAACCACAACGCCTTTGACCGACGATACTGGGTCCTCCCCATTCATGTCAACAACGGAAGCCACTGGGCAGTGGGCATCTACGACGTTGCTACTGGCATTTTGGTTTATATGGACTCGTCGAAGGATTGGAAGGGGTATTAAGCTAATGCTATTTCTTGCCTGGTATCTTATATCCGTCACGCTTTCCACTGTAGCCTTGACGTGAAAGTGAGGAGGCTAGCTTGCGGTGAACAGGGCGGGGCGTGGGAATGTGGTCTTTGGGTCTTGGAGCACTGCCGTACCTACTTTCAGGGAGGTGTTTCGTACGGTGAAGAGGAGGATTTAACGGTAGTAAAGGCTTGGAGAGGAGATCGTTGCTACAGAGACTGCAAGACCGTGGGCGTTGCGGGGAAGAAGATGATGAGGTTGTGGATGGCTTATGTGAAAAGGTCTTTGGGTTGTGAGCCTGATCAGAGGGTGCGTGATAAGAAATGGAGGAGGAGGGGCCTGGAGGACTTGATGGACGCGGAAGGATTCAACCTGCCAAGCACCCTCTCGTCTCCTTTCAAGTCTCCACCAATTCCCCGGTTTGCTTCCCTCCCTGGTTCTCCGTTAGCTTTGGTTACTACTGTTGAGGGAGATGAGTGCGTCGTGGGTCTTCCCTCTGATCATGAAGGGTTTGGATCAAGTAGCGTGTCGAGTAACTCTTAACGACCAAGCAGGGTAGCGACCCCCTTTGGGTTCCGCACTCCTGTGACAATGGACTCGCCGCTCCTCTCTGGGCCTGTAATTGCCCGTCCCCCTACTTATGACCACTCAGGATCGCCAACAACATACCTTTCGCCTGATCACATACCTGGTTTCATGGGATGGGAGTGGGCTCCTGGAGTTCCTCAGAGACGAAGGGAGGAGGTCGTTAGGTCACCAGTTGTGATGGCTCGACAGGGACGGAGGTATGCTCTGAGATCCGAGAAGTGAGGGTGCTCTTCTCTCTGATCAT